TCTTCTTCTTCTTCTTTTTATTCCCCCTTTATTCCCCCCTTCGCCGATGGAGAGCATTCTGCTATTTCTTGATTCATATCATCAAGCATATGAGATGATGCGATCGATCAAATGGGACGGTATGGATGATGTGTCTCTCTTGTCCAGCAGGTCAGAATGTCTCCTTGTTCTCTCATCATCATCTTGGGCAGACAAGGGCATGGGACATGGACTGACTCTTGTGGGGTTTTTTATTTTTTCTCCCTTTTTCTTCCTTTTTCACCCATTTTCTTTCTCTCTCCTGTGCATTTTGTTTCCCCCCTTCCATTTGTGTGTTTTTGTCACTGGACGATACGCTTTGCATGTATGTACGCTAGGTTGACTCATTTACACTGCTGCTGCTACCATTACTACTAACTACATTATGGAGGATGGCAATGCAATGCAATACTATGCTATGCTATGCTACGCTATGTTATGCTGTGCAAATAAAGTAAAGAAAAAAAAAGGAAAATAGGCTAATCTCCGAACGATATTTTTACGAATTTTTTTCTTCTCTCGCTCCATGTTCGTAACTGTTATTTTCTAATTGGCAGTAGCACATGTATAGTATACAAAGGTGGATGAAAATACAGCATAGAAAGCATAAAAGAAAAGGAGGAAGAAGGGAGAGGAAGGAAAACAGGACACTACAAGATGTGTCTGTCTGCAAAAACGACAGAGAAATACATCTAATGTGTCCACAAGCAAGGGTTTCCTGTTAGGGTGAATACATCCAAGATTCGTTTCTCCGGTTGTCGCTCTCTCCCTTAAGACGACGAGGAGGAAGGCTTTTTCTCCTTAAACTCTTCATGCGCCAATATTTCGACTCCCAGAGGCTTCTGTCCCGGCATCACATGGTCGCGAGTCAGGTCCAACTCGCCGTGCTTGACCCGCTCGGGCCACGACTCGGCATAGTTCGCATCGTACAGATCGGACCAGAGGATCTTGACCTCGTCGCCCTCCAAGTCGTACTCGTCATTGCCTTGGGGATCCTCTATCTTGTATTCCACCTGGTCGTTGCTGATCATTTCCTCGAATTTGGCCACCCGCTCCGCAGCCCGCGCTGACACCTCGTCTTCCTTTCGCAAGGCTGCTCGTCGGCGTTTTCGCGCAGTTCGGGTCAGATAGCCTCTCTTGCCATCCGCAAATCCGTTCTTGATCTCCTCCTCCTGAATGCGAAGAACTGCCGCAATGTCTGCGACACTGGTGGCCTTTTGGTCCATTAGAACACGGGCCCGTTGCTTCTTGTCCATCATCCACCCGAGCTTGGGCCTGAACTCCTTATCAAACTTTTCGGCCTCTATCGGGTCCTTCGGCCTCTTTCGTTCCAGAAACTCTTCCGTAATTGTGATCATCTCCCTCGGCGGAGAGAGCTGCCGCTGCATCGAAAATTCACGCAGGAGATGGTAGGCACGCAGACCGACCTTCGCATCGTTGAAATGTACAGAGTAGTAGGGAACCCACATATCTTTTCGAAGAGTCGCAGGAACAGTTTTCTTGCCATGGAACACCATTTGTGAGAGTACATTGTTTTCTGATCGAATCCGTATAGTCGAATTAGCCTATCTCAATTCTACATGGCTTCACCTTTCCTCCCATAGTCCGGCCAGATAGAAAACGTACCTCGAGATACCGGGTCAGCGAGTACACCACCTGGTTCGTGCGAATGTTGTTGTAGACAAAAATGTTCTTGCCATGTGTGATACGGTTCAAGGCTTTCCGTAGCCGGGCTCCCTCCTGTTTCTGGAATTCTTTGAAAGCATTTGAATTCTGCTCTCGAGGTTTTCCCTGGATGACAGTGTGATTTGGGATAGGTGGACGGCGAACAATGTTCCAGGTCCCGATCTTGGTCGGATCCAGAACCTTTGTGATTCGGTTCTGAGCCGGCTGGGAAGAGGCCATGGCGGCCAGGGGTCTCGTGGGCTGCAGTGAACTCTCAGAAGAAAGGTTCTTCTCTCAATTATCGCATTGCAATTGGATGTGGCTATGGCTTTTCAGCAGAACAGCGTGTGATGGTGGATGGAATGGATGGTTGAGTGAGGCTTGACCTGCGGATGCGGACTGAGCTCGGATCAATTTTTGAGAGATGCTCGATCTTGTCCCAATCAGGACACTCCCCGTCTCCGCGTCACCCTCAGTCGGTCGACTAGGACATGCGACCGTGGCACGAACAAGCTGTCTTTCACAAACACATTAATGGCGCATCTAAATGACCCCGAGATGCTCTGAGAAGCTGTCTAGTTTACAATGACTGGAGACGCGTTGCTTGACGGCTGAGCTGTCATGTCATCCGACTATGATACGAGCGGCTATGATGTCGCAAGCAGTCGTCGCGAGCGACCATGGCAGTTTCTATTGGTACAGTCACGTCTTATTCATGCCGAACTCATTCGGCAATTACAGCTAATGATGGTCCCTTTTAGAATCGCAAGTTGCGGCATCTGCAAGGCGTCTCAGTCCGCAACCTGACTATCACGCCCCCAAATCGGGCCCGCGGAAGGACTATTGACGACGATGACATTCCCAACACTCTGAAGTCGCCAGCCAAGATTCTGGCTCAAGCTGACAGTCGGCCTGTGCAACATTCGCGGTCATATTCGGATCTGAAATTATCACCATCGAAGTCGCCAGTGAACCTGACGAGCAGCGACAATGAGAACACTCACGATGCGCGACGCATTCACAGGAGGAGCACTTTACCCTGGAGTGGGGGCAATCTCGACTCCAGGCAGGTCAAACTGGAAGACATCACGAGCAGCCGAATGGTAGACACGTGGTTTTCAATCCATTGCGATGGCATTGACAGCCCGGTCTACATCAGCGAGGTTGTCGAGAAAACAACCAACCCAAGTTTCCGTTTCTTTGATCTAAACGCCTGCGGCCCCCATGTTTCACGATTGGATGAGATGACACTTAAATTATGGGTGAAATCAGCGAATATGAGCGAATATATTCTCCTGGTGGAACTCCAACTTAGTCTCAGGTCCCTGCAGTTCGTGGGCAAGACGCTTGAGAACTTCCACCAGCCGCTTCCACCTAACTCTGTTCTCTTCCATTTCGCTGATGGCATCTATACCAACTTAACTGACCTTCCACCCGTGCAACCCGCGTCTTCGGCGAAGGCACCGGAGGGAATTTCTTCACGGGGTGACGTCCAGCCTACTTCTTCTTATGATGCACTCATGCGACTGGCGAATCTGGACGACTGCATTCAGGACGCCCTCGCGACGAGGGAGAGATTGGAGGCACAGATCAACGCGATTCTCGAGAAGAATCAAGGAGCTTTGGAGACCATCAGCCAGGCTTCCCAGGCGCAGGAGAAGATCTCCCTCACCAGACGCGCCATCGCAGCAGAGAAGAAGCAGTTACGGGCAACTATCAAACGCAAAGAAGAACTGATTTCGAGCATCAACGCGAGGAAGAATGCAATGGCCCATGGCCGTGAGAGCCAGGATAAGGCTCGCAGTCATCTTCCGGATGCCCAGATGAAGTTGGCTTCGAGCGCCAGTTTACTAGAGAAGAACACCGAAGAATCTAAAGGACAGATTCACCGCATCTGCGAGGATCTTCTCGCGATCTATCCCATCGAGCCGATCCCGGGGAAGGCGCTCGCATTTACCATTGCGGGACTGGCTCTTCCCAACTCCACCTTTGAAGACATTGATCGGGATGTCGTGGCTGCTGCCCTTGGATATACGGCACACTTGGTCTACCTCCTCTCGTTCTATCTGTCTGTTCCTATCCCCTATCCGGTTAAACCGTATCTTTCGCATTCCATCATCCACGATCCCGTGTCGGTTGCTTTGCCGCAAAGGACCTTTCCTCTATATCCAGTGAATGTCCAATATCGGTTCGAATACGGCGTCTTTCTGTTGAATAAGGACATTGAGTTTCTCATGAATCGTCGAGGATTGCGACCTCTCGATATTCGCCATACGTTGCCTAATCTGAAGTATTTACTTTATGTCCTGACTTCCGGGACAAGTGAGCTCCCAGCCAGGAAAGCAGGTGGTGTTCGCGGTCTGCTCATGGGCCGTCAGACGCCCACGCTGTCGAGGCAAGGTAGCGAAGACAGTATCGCCAGCGGCGAGCTTGTCAATCCGCGGAAATTTTCGAATACGCTTTTGAAAGCACCCGCCAACAGCGATGCCGATAAAGGCAAAGAGCCGGCTACAGATTCTATGCACACGTTTGTCGCATCATCCACTAATACGATTTCTCCTGCTCGGACGAGTGTGGGTGGAGCATCGTGACAGGAGTTATGGTGTCTTATCAGCGTGTATTATACGATTTTTCTTTTCTTTTTACCCTGATACTTTAATACTCATGACCGTAATGCTGTTCTAAGGAAGGGCGATTACTTAACCATGGCGGCTAGTGGAAACTGTATCCCTTTTTCTTTTCTTTTCTTTTTTTTTTCGTCTTTTATTTTTCTTTATTTTCCCTTGATGCCTCGCAAGGCAGATATTAAGGCCTCGCAGACACGGGGTTCTTATTGACTGGATTGGTAAATAGAAGGGATCCAATCAAGCAGTATCGACTATCAGCTTGGTGGCGTTGGATAGAGATAGAATGGCTCTGAACGTCTGTTCACCAAGCCAAACCCGTTTGAAATTTGATTGGAGCTATGATCTATGAGCTGCGACTCTGACTGCCCCTGAGTATAAGGATCTTAATTAAACAGATTCGGTTACCCCGCATTTAACCGTTTGCTGGGGGAAACGCTGGCGCACCGCGGCAGCCGAAAGTTTGTTGAGTTCTCTGATCGCCTAGTAGAGAATCAGAAGAATCATCATCATTTTAATTCATTCGGCCACCTGATTGCAAACTCGACGCTCGTTGGCAGTGACAGTGAGATCCTCTGGCTGATGCTGGCCGAGTCTGCATCTCACCCCCGGGCGTAGACCCCGCTGCTTCTAGTGTTCTCGCTTTGCATCGGCAATCCATCCTCACCACACCCACTCGGGGCCGACAGAAGGCGATCAAACGGCGATGATGGCATCCACCACCGAGTCCTCCCTGCATGCAGATGGAGCCTCGCTGAACAAAACCGTCTACCCGGACACCCGTCAGGGCCATCGGTCTTCATCTCCTCCACCGCAGCACCGGCGTGGATACCAGGCCTGTGATCCGTGCCGCAAGCGCAAAGTCAAGTGCGACCTGGGAAGTATGCACAGACCATAACCTGGCGATATTGTCCTTGATGGCCCCGAACAGAGAGCTGATACCACTGCAGGTGTCGATAATCCGCGACCTCCGCCATGCGTTCGATGTCGCCGCGAAAGCAAACGATGCGAATTCTCCGCTACGAGGCGCAAGCGGAAGGCCGACGAGGCCGAGCAGGAGGTCGACAGCACCCTGCGCCGCGACAAGCGGATGATGGTGGGAGAGGTCACGTCGTATACAGAGACCCCGAGCAACGGAAGTCATGGATCGCCTTATCCCCTGCCTCCGTCGATGCCGCTTGATGGTGACAGGACTTCTCGGACACAATGGCCGGAGAGCTCATCAACGTCGAACCAGATACCTCGTTCCGCCCCCAAAGAACAATATTCACCCAACAATAATGCATTACACTTTCAAGATACGAGGAATCTTCGTGGTCCCGGAGGGTATTCGATGCATGGACAGCATGTGATGAACAAGACCGCTGCCGATCTGTTATCACCGACGATCAGCAACAGTCACGATGCCCTTCATCTCCTTTCGGAAGCTGCCGGGAGAACTGAGGACCTGAATCGCCAGAGCTTGGAAAACCGTCTTGCAGCAAGACAATCGACGTCCTCGTTTGCTTCCCCAATCTCGCCACTCACCCAGGCCAGCACTCCCAGGCACGGGCGCCATTCATTCTCAAAGCCACCGCACTCTACGCCGTCGGACAGATACTACCAGGTTAACGGATCGGGATCTGTTGACCCTCAGATTTCGGATTTCCGCAGCCAGGGGATCAATTCATCCGATGTCAATGATCCAGGCTATTTGGATGCGGTCAAGGCGTGGTCGCGCCTGCGGTTCGTGCGGGCGGGATGGCTCACCGTCGAGGAAGCCATGGCATACATCGCATAGTAAGTTTGATCCTCCACGCAAGTGCTGCTTGACAACTCGAGCGCTCACCACTTCTTTCTCAGCTACTACGAACATCTTGCTCCATTAAGCCCGATTGTCATTCCCGATTTTTCGCCGCCTTCGAGGCACCGGGCGTTGCTTACAGAGGAGCCTGTGCTGGCAGTCACGATGCTGACGACAGCGTCTCGACACATGAAGCCCAAGGGAGACGGGGCCAACACACGAGCCTTCTACATCCATGATCGACTTTGGGCGTACCTTCGTGGCATGATTGAACGATTGTTCTGGGGCCAGGATAAATTTGGTAGCAATCCAGGAGGGCCAAGCAACAACCCTAGGTCTCTGGACCTCAATACTCTGCCAGGGAAGGTGAACACGAGTGGACATCTCCGGTCACTCGGCACCGTGGAGGCGTTATTGATTTTAACGGACTGGCATCCAAGGAATTTGCATTTCCCCCCTGGTGATGACGAAAATACACTCTTGGACACGGACGCACAGTTGCCTTCACAGACGCGCCCTGACGGGGAGAACGATGCCAAAGCCCAGAGTAGCAGCGGCCCGGAAGGTCGACTCGCTTTCCAGAAATGGCTGGAACCTACATGGAGGTCAGACCGGATGTCGTGGATGCTATTGAGCACCGCGCAGGCCCTGGCCTTCGAGTTAGGAGTCTTTGACCAGAAGAATACGTCTGCAAGCAGCAACGAGTCTACATCCGAGCAGGTGCGCAAGCGTCGAGTGCGTCGACTGATTATCGTCTACGTCACCCAAAGCAGTGGTCGGCTGGGAATCCCTTCCATGCTCCCTCTTCCGCAATGGAGTCACGATATCGAGCCGACGCCACTGGGGGATGCAACGGCCAGCGACATCTCCATTGACAGAATGCAAGATTGCTGGATTGCGATATCCAAGATCATGTACCAAAGCAACCAGCTCTTATTCGCGTCTAAGGAGCAAACCTCAGAACTCATCAAAAGCGGGCGCTACCGTGAACGGATTGCCGAGTTCACTCCATGGCTACAAGATTTCCGACGGAATCTGGACAGCCTTAACTGTGAGTAGCCTTCTTACGCTTTCTCCTTTGTAGGATAAGTCAGCTAAGCGATTTCTATTGCAGTGTCACCTCAGATGCGGAATATTTTGACGATTGAATATGAATACACACGTAAGTGTCCATTGCGCAACTCAAAAGCTGTCTCTTGGGACTGACAAGTTGCGCAGGTCTCTATGTCAATTGCCTAGCCCTGCAGGCTGTGGTGGACCGCTGGACCACGATGAACAACGAGCCTTCGAGTCGATCCGGACCCGGTTCCTCATCCGGGTCCAGTTCCTTCCGAGTGCTGATGGAGCTGTACCGGGTCAACGAAACGTATATCCAGGAAGTTGTAGATGCGTCACGCAAGATTCTGCAGACTGTGCTGGACGGTCTCCTCCCTGGAGAACATCTCAAGCACTGTCCGGTTCGGACGTACTTCCGAATTCTATCCGGAATGATATTTATCTTGAAGGTAGTCCGCCATCCGCACCAATCTCCCTGGAATTTTCTATCTGACGTTTATGTAGACCTTCACGTTGGGCGCAACGGAGGATGATGTGCGCGTATCGCTGGACCTCCAGGATCGGACCATCGAAGCTTTGCGAACGTGTGTGGTCGATGACGTGCATCTGGGCAATACAATCTCGCGATTGCTTGAGCTGCTTACCACCAACATCCGGACCCGATTCCTACGCTTTGCTCCGACAGACCGGGTGGGCGACGGGGACGGTCAGCCGGACTCGAGAGTTCCATCGCCACGACCCGCGCGCGACAACGTGCAGGCCCGTCGAGACGGTTCTGGCTCGCAGTGGCAGCAGTCCCAGAACACGAGTAACAATGTAGGATATTCGATCGACGGCGGCAACAGTGGCAGTGGTCAACCCAGCACCACTGTAGGAAACTACCACGATCCCCTCGCCAGCATTCCCGCACAACCCATCAATTCGTCCAACCTCAACGTCTCTTTCATGCCGCCGCCACCGTCCATGTATTATAACTACTACGACCATAACTCTACGTCGCCGAAGCCGGATGATGCGGCGGCAGCGGCGCAGTCTGTTGGCGAAGGAGGGGCAGCACTGCCGGACTGGTTCGCTCTGCCTCTGGATCAGTTCTTCAACAGTTCCACGGCCGGGGTTGATCAGGGGCTTGGCGGGACTGGACCCATGGTTGGCGAATTCGACATGCTGGAAGTCCTGCTCAATGAGCAGTACGACAAGGACGGTGGTGGAGGCGGCGGGGTGGATGGCGGGGACACTGCAGGCGGGAACAGTAACAATCAGGGTCTCGCGTCCCAGTTCATGTGATCTGCCAGCAGGAATCAGCGGTTGTCATGACGGGTCACATATTAAGGATGGCTTTAAATTTTCTCCTTCTCTCTTTGTTCATATTTTTTTAATCCCTTTTTTTTCTTGATCTTCCTTGTATTTGTGTTTTCGCCATGCAATTAGCAGAAAAGTACGTCGTGGTATTGTATGTATATCAGTTAGGCGAGTATGTGTGATGTGTGATGTGTGATGTGCGATACTATCAATCAATGTAACTATCGGTTCTACCTTCATACTGTATTGTACAATGCTCTTTATATACTCTGTGGTATGTACAGGACAATGTGACACCATCCAGGGTTTACTTCCTATCTTGGAGCAAATATTTTGTGTGCTGAAGCAAAAAGGAAGAAGACCAGGGAGGGACTTGGAGCCCAGTCGTAGTCACATGCTTAGACAAGTAGTCAGTAGGATTCTTGCTCTGTTACACCCATCAATTACCTAGATTTGGTCGATGCACCTCCCCTTTGTATCACAGTTTGGATTATCTTCTATAACACGCCTGCTGCAATTGTTGAATCTTCTATTGAGCTATATCTAGTCTACCACGTAGGTGGCGTTAACTTTAAGGAGTTTACTCATGCCTAAGGTTTCCAACGCGGGTATAGCTTCGGGTTGGAAGGATTCCAAAGCTTCTAGTTTACTTCTCGTTCGGGGATAGTCGTCCCTTTTAAAAGTCATAAATACAGGTACCGCCACGAGAGCAACTCAGCAACTAGAGCTTTGTGTCAGCCGTTCTAAGCATAATCACTTGATGTGGCATGCCATGTTGCATTCAATATCGATGCGTACAACCCTCTGTGGCCAAGACGGCGTATTACGGTATTACCAAGCCGTCCTTAATTAATCTCTTGGCTCTTCGGTCGGACCGGGAAGTCTGAAGATCTGCCCGTTTCAGGTTTCAGGTTTCATTTCATGTGTCTGGGACTCTGGGGCCTCTGGGCCTGGTCGTGCCCCTGAGCAGCCCGTCCGTGGGTCGCTGATTCGCTCGTGCGCACTTGCAGCATGCTTGACGTCAAGCGGTTGGATCGATCGATCGAGCCAGCAGCAGCAGCGAGCCACGGCGCTCTCTCCACCAGGACGATCGGCGTGGCGGTGTCGAATCAACCCACTGCCTGCCAAGGCCCCCGGGTTACACGTCCGGGGAGCGAGTGTTCCAAGGTTCATCTTCAGGCTGTCCAACAGGGAGATGGGAGACCAGCTGGGCAGCACGGCTGCACGGGTGTGCTCCTGCCCAGCCTGGCACCTGCCTCATGTTCCTGAGCTTGCCATGGCTGCCGAGTCAGCGGGCAATCACGTTAAACGACCAGAGGGAAGGTGGAGATGGGGTCTCCGCTGCTCCGCTGGACAGGGCAGGTGCGACCTGTGAGGATGCAGCATCTCCTGGCAGGCACCTGCTCCGTATCGCCCGTTATCGGCCGGCTGCCAGTCAGCTGCTCCGCCGAGCGTTGCAGCGGGCCGGGAGGTGTTTGCTGTCGATCACCTGTCGACAGCGCTCCTCCGTCCTGGGGTGACGCGCGAAGGCCGTTTTATATGCTGATCCTCCTTCATCTCGCTGTTGTCTTTGTTCCGTGTCCACCAGCCTTTCGATTCTAGAGCACCTTGTCGTTCATTCACTCCAAGCATCCAAGAGGTTCTCGCTCCTTCTGGCAACCGCTGTCCTTCGTTTCTTTCTACCAGTCCCTCCCTTTTCCTTCGTTTCGCTCTTTATTCCTTAATTCCAGCCGACCATGGTCTCTTTCAGCAAGATCACTGTCGCCCTGGCGGGTTTCATTGCGGTGGCCTCGGCTGCGCCGACCACCAAGCCTCGCAAAAGCTTCACGGTGACCCAGATTGCCCGTCCGGCCTCCAGCAAGAACATCCCCGGCCTGTATGCCAAAACCATGAGGAAGTATGGAGCTACGGTCCCGGAGAGCGTCAAGCTGGCCGCCGAGAGTGGTTCCGTTATCACCACCCCGACTCGCAACGACGCGGAATACATCGCCCCCGTGACGGTGGGCACCTCGACCCTGCATCTCAACTTTGACACTGGTTCTGCGGACCTGTGAGTTGCTCTAATTTATTTTCTTCTCTCTCTCTTAAAAAAAAAAAGGCTGACTTTCCTCCAGGTGGGTGTTCTCTAACGAGATGAACGCACACGACACCCGGGCCCATGGCGTCTACACTCCATCCGGCAATGCCACCAAGCTGAACGGCTACACCTGGGGCATCACCTACGGTGATGGCAGCTATGCCAGCGGTGACGTCTACCGCGACTATGTCAGCGTCGGCGGCGTCTCGACCTACCAGCAGGTCGTCGAAGCCGCCTCCAAGGTCAGCTACGACTTCGTGGTGGACGGCACCGACGGTATTCTGGGTCTTGGATTCAGCAACGTCAACACTGGTAGGTGATGAAATTATTTCCTACTTCACTTTTGACTTCTCTGACTCCGTCTAGTCAAGCCCCAGCCTCAAAAGACCTTTTTCGACACCGTCAAGTCGCAGCTCGACCAGCCCGTGTTCGCTGTCGCTCTGAGTCACGATGGCCCTGGCAGCTATGACTTTGGTAAAATCGACCGCAGCAAGTACACGGGCTCTATCGCCTACACCAATGTCGACAGCTCGAAGGGTTACTGGAGCTTCAACGCCACCGGCTACGCCGTGGGCGACGGAGCGGCGACTTCCTCCCTGATCAATGGCATTGCTGGTGAGTTCATCTCTCTCCACAACATTGAATCATTGTGCTGATTGAACTTGTCCAGACACCGGCTCCAGTCTCCTGATGCTCCCCACCGACGTCGTCAATGCATACTACAGCCAAGTCCCTGGTGCGCACAATGACGACAATGTCGGCGGAATGGTCTTCGACTGCTCTACCCAGCTGCCCGACTTTACAGTCCTGATCGGTGACGCCAAGGTCGTCGTGCCCGGCAAGGTGATCAACTACGCGCCCATTCAAACCAACAAGTCCGAGTGCTTTGGTGGCATCCAAGACAAGCAGGACGCGCCGTTTTCCGTCTTTGGCGACGTCTTCCTGAAGGAGCAGTACGTCGTCTTCAACGCGGATGGACCCAAGCTGGGATTCGCCCCTCAGGCGCAAGCGGGCCAGTAAAGCAGTGACTTTTGTCCATACCCGTATCTTTTTTTTTTGTCCCGTTTCTTTCTCAAGCTGCGACAGGCTCAAGATGTAATTATTATTTTCGATCTAGGGGATAATGGTACTGTATGTACATAATGTCCATACATATATTAATCTATTTCCCCTCTTTTCAAGGCAGCATGTGCTGGCGATATTATCTATTCATCGGAAACAGTATTCATCAGAAGCAGGTTTCGTAGATTGACTTGTAGGATAGTAATAGATACCTAATCACCCTCCCAAATAATTACCTAAATTGGCAACAGACAGGCAGGCAGACCAAGACAGAAGAACAGGACTACTCAACTCAACTCAGCCTTTATTTACTTATCTATTTACTTAAGATACTTACTGTTCAACAACAACCACTTTCTTTCTGTCTTTCTTTTTGCCAAAAAAACAAAATAAGATAAAATAAAATACAGAAAAAAATAAATAATCCCTGCAAGTTAGGTACAGTAGTTAAGCCCCGCGAACCTTATCCATCTACCCTAACTCTAAAGAAACCCAACCCAACCCAACAAAATAAAAATAAAATAAAAATTAAGCCACCAACCGGGATTATTTCTTAAGATTTTTTTTTAAGGTTTTGTCATATCTCCTGCGAATCCAATGCCCATATCTCCCAGTGCCGGAGCACGTCCCATCCTACGCGCCGGACGCGCCGGCGCCAGATTACGCGCTCTCCTGAGGGGAGGACTTCGGTGATGTCGTCTTCGTTGTTGAGGCGGATGGGATTTGGATTGGGAGTGGGATTTGGTGGGGTGGTGCGAGTGTTATTGTTGTTGGTGGTGGTGGTGGTGGTCTTGTTGTTGGTATTCTGCTGGGCCTCTGTAGGAATGGGTGTTGATGGGGATGGTGATGCTGGTGCTGGTGATGAAGGTTCGCGGGGACGTTTTCCTAGACATGATTTTGTTGGGAAGGTGGTGGTGGTGGTAGGCTCTTTGACATGGCCTTGCCCTTGGCCTTGTTGAGTTTCTCCTGTTGGAAGACTCTTGTTACTGTTGCTTCCGTTTGCAACAGCATGGCCTTGATCTCGCCCGCTATCGACCGCCACTGTCTCCGCCGGTATCGTATAAAACTCGCCCAGCTCCCACCCCTTCCAGCCCAGGCCGACGACTTTCAGTCTACCGCATGTCTCCTTATCGGCCAGGACGGCGCTCATCTTCTCCGTGTGGATACGGTCGTCCAGTTCCACGATGTCGGCGATTGTTGCAGTCGAAAAGGTGTTGTTGTTGCCATTTACCTGGAAACTGGTTGATTGTGAAGAAGCAGGCTTTTCTGTGGTCGTCGTCTGAGGAATGAGAAAGCGGATGGCGACCAGCTTGCGGAGGAAAGGAAGGAGAAGTCGCGCCGCCTCCAAGGCCGTGATCTCCGCCGCCAGGGCCAGCTGCTCCAGGTTAGGACAGGCATGTACCAGACGGGCGATCTGGGTCGCCGACAGGGGCCACCGCGACGGCAGGAGAAGATGGCGCAGCGTAGCGCCGTGGTTGCCCACGATCGTACTGAAATACGAATCTCGCAAGAGACTGTGCTGACTGACGACGCTGTTCGACGGAGAGTGCGGAGAGGCCGGGGAGACGGCCCGGGCGGCGGCGATTGCAGATGCCGTAGTCGTAGTCGTAGGAGGAGCGATGCTCGTCGCACTCTCAATCCGTGGCGGCGTAACGGTCGTCGACGACGGCCCGGCCGACGGTCGGGGACTGTTGAGCTGATCGTAGGGGCTACGAATCGGATTGACAATGTAGAGTCTCTCCAGGCCCGTAAACGTGGACAGGAATTCGCAGAGCTGTTTGTTCAAGGAGTCATAGCGTATCGACTTGAAATTGACCGCCCCCTTGGGCGGACGGCTCGTCCAGGTGTTGTGCAGGAAGGTCGATGACGCCGCGTCCTCGAAGCCCGGGCTGTTGAGGAAAGTCACCTCCTCGATCGAACTCTCGTCGATGGCCTCGGACCAGTCTTCGGTGTTGCGGGCGTAGAGATTCTGTATCGAGATGCTCTTCAGCTTCAGGGGCCTCTCCTTGACGCATTTGCGAAAGTAGTCGTGCAGAATGACGCTCGGCTCCTGCGCCTCGCGCATCCGCGGGGACCAGTGCATCTTCAACTCCCGCAGATTGCGACTCCGCGCCAGCAGCGTGGATATGTCATCCGGGTAGCAGAGCGGGTCGATGTCGGTCACCTTGAGCGAGCGAAGATGGGGCATGGGTGGAATGACGATTGTCGGCCGGGGATGACGGCTCGACGGGAACCTCACCGACAGCGACGTGAGCTTTGGCAGCTGAGACAGACCGATATATACGGTTTCGAGCATCTTCGTGTTCAGCTCCCAGCTTCAAAAAAAGAAGGGTCCGTCATGGTCAGCAAGCCAACAATCCCCACCCCACCAATTCCTCGCTGAGACTGTCTGTCTTACCTGAAGCTCTCGAGATTGGTCGTCCGATCAATCGCCGCCCTCAGTGCGATATTAAGCATCATGGACGAATCGGGCACCCGGCCAACACTGGCGTACTCCTCCAGCTCGTGCTCCTTCCACTCCCCGCGCAGTGTCATGGACTGGACCAGGGACGCATGCGGCCTCGTCACCAGCGCGTTGAGGCCCATGGAGAAGGGACTGGCGCCGCCCCATCCCTCGGGCTGGTCGTCGCGGTATCGAATCCGATCGTACGACGTGAGGACAAGGTTCCGGTACAGCTGGGGGAGGCTCATGTAGTTCAGCACCCGGCATGTCCGGCACATGCGGGCAAGGTCCGCCGGTTCCTCGATCTGCAGGGTTTTTCATTGTGTGTCAGAGCCAACTCAGTCAAATTCAATTCCGCGATAAATTATCAATAAGACTGTACATAGGAGACAATGCGCGCGATCAGATTCAGCGGCAGCGTCATGATGGAGGCGCCTTGCCCGCGCATGTGATGATGCGGCTCAGCGGAGACGCTGGCTTCGAACATGTTGCTGTTGACAGCCATGACGGGCTGCACAGGCGGACAAGGCCCCGCAACATTGACCGTGGTCTTGTCGAGATATAATATTAATTGTCCAGGTCGATTGCGGGGTGTGCGGTGCCGACGAGGGAGGTCGCGTTCGGATCAAGCGGGTTCAGGAACTTGACGCAAGTTGGATGGAGCTGCACAAGACGCTTCGGAGCATCGCTTCCCGAGGGATAAAGGAATAAATAACTGCACACCCAGCACCAAGTTATTCGGAACACAAACAGCGGCCCTGCAAAACATGGCTGCACAATTAAAGACTCCTCTATTGAAAGAAAAATATAGTACGTATATGTCTAAGCTAGATCCATTCCGATTCAACAGATTACATTGGACTCCACGACAGCTTAAAGCCTCAGGGTATCATCTCCAGGCAGAGTCCTGCTTTCTTTCAATAGCAACTGTAATGTCCTCCTGCAAACCCGAAAATACATCCAAGTGTCCAGCGATGAAAAGATAAGATAACCCGAAGACTCCGAAAGTTAAGAGTCCCGATTGCCTAGACTCCCATACCTAGCCAAACTCCTCGAATAAAAAAAAATTAAACAAATTCAACAATATGTATAGACAGATCAGACGCGACAAAAAGATGACCTGTAAATAATTCTAGGGTCTCCGACCATGGCCTGCAGGGTCTGATCCCGCTTCCAGAACGCTGTTGCCAGGACCAGCAGGTGCCACAGAACTATGCTCTGGCATCGACGGTCGCGGTGTCGAGCTCTGTACAGATGAAGGAGTCCTCGAGGGATTCGTCATCGATCCTCGATCGCCAACGTCCGATCCGGGTTGACCGTTCGTCGACGTCTGTTGGATCTCAGGGCCTGTGGTGTGCGAAGGCTGATCAGCTGCTCCCACAACATTGTCACGGCTACCAGCCAGATGAGCTTGCTCATCGTCAGACACCACGAGGGTTTCGTTACCAGACGAAGTGCCTCGGACAGAAGCATTCCGCGTGGCCCCCTCTGACTCTTCCACCGGTAGGACCAAATCTGGCCCAGCCCCAACAAGAGCGGCTGCATCAGGGTCGTAGCGGAGTCGCTGACTGGGGTCTTCACCACCCCCCGCCGCAGACGATGGCCAAGGCGCGGCACGTCGCGGTTGTGTTGTGATCACTCTCGCAGGCAAGGTACGTTGGCTCGACGAGGTTCGATGGCTGGAGTCTCCTACGTAAAAGTGGGAATCATCAGAATGCTGAGGTGACCACGTCTGCTGAGACCGTCCTCGTGGCGGGATGACCGTGACGGGTAACGGCCTGGCGGCTCCGCGACCATCTGACTCCTGCGCGCCCTTCGAGCGGTGAAAAGACAGTATATGGTTCATCCGGGATCGGAGGTTCCAAGACCCAGTATATTTCTCCTCGAGGCCGTCTGTCTCTGCTGCCTCGGACTGTTCTTGCTCCTGGGCGGTAGCAACCTCCTGTGGTGGAGAAGTGCGTCGTCTCCTGAATAGGTTGGCAATCGAGAACCACCGAGCATCCTGGACCCGGGGCATAGTCGACCAAGGACCTTCACTTCGGCCCATCTCGAGACTGTGGCTGGAATTGCTCGAAGGCCGGTCCTCGGCCGTTGTAGCAACTTCCTTGGGCTGGTAGTAATCTTCCTGGGGCGCCGCGGCTGGCTGCGCCGGAGGCGTTGGACTGGTGACCGGATGATAGCGGACATAGTACACCGTGCTGGCTGCACTCGTCGTGTCAGCTCGACTGACGGGCGTGACAGCTGCGGGCGGCGGCGTCGGTTGGACGGGTCCCGTCCGATGAGGTTCGGTCGAGCCGACATTGTCATAGTTCATCGAACCTGGACCATCTCGTCGAGCACGATTGCTGCGTTGGAAGCCAACACGGGTCCGTCGCAAGGGCCGATGGCTCAGGCCCCTAACTCCTCCCCAGGCAGTCGAGGTAGCCGTTCCCTGTCCGCTTTCATTGCCATGATCTCCCCCTCCCGGTTGACGAGGCCAGTCGATCTCTTCGGAGGGGGTAACTTCGAGCATCTCATCGCCGTCAAAAATTTCGCGACCCAGGATACCGTCCTTCCTCTCGTCTCGTTCCAATGCCTCGATTCTTTCCACCCATTCCCAGACAACGACACTGGCTGCGGCAGAGCCCACCCATCGGATATACTCACCCCAGCCAGCGACGTCCGGTTGTGAAATGTCCATGATGAAGAAAACCACGGGGATGAACACCGCAACCAGAGAGAGGAGAGCCACCAGGCATATATTCCGCATCTTCGGATGGAAGAATGCAAATCGGTGCTTGGACAAGGAGTAGAAGATAACCCATGCGGCGTAGAGCAGGTTAAGAGCCAGTTCAAACAGGTAGGACAGGGCCGGGATGGCGTCGTCGAAAAGGCGCGGACGGGTGCTAGATCCATGCGCGACGAAGTTGTCCAAAATGGCAAAGATGGTGTCGAGTACGATCAGCGCAAAGCCAGCCCACTTGATCATCACCTTCTCCTTATGCCGGGGAAACAGTCGTATGAGCGTCTGGACCTGGGCAAGCCAGAGGAAAGTGCTGGAAATGACCCGGACGACGCGGATCTCGGTACCATTGATGACGTCGTTGGTCAGCGCCGTGGCATCCATATACCCGTAATTGTACTGCTCCTCGGCAACCCTGAACGAGTCCACCGTCGCGATGGTCAGCGACACGGCGACCGACAAGGCCGCCACTTTCTGCAGCCATGGCCGGCCACCCACGCCGACCACGGACGGGCTTCCACCGTAGGAGCCGCCATGGCGACCCAAGAAGGTGCCGCCGCCTCCAGGACCGCCGATGTAAAAGGTTCGCGGGGTGATGAGGAGGATAATGACCAGGACGTAGCTGACCACGGTCATGCAGCCGATGGCGTAGAGTTGCGGAGAGGTCGAGGAGTAGAAGGGATCTTTCGAGTCGATGACGGCGGACGGGTTACCTGGACTGGGGGTCGCTGCGCCGGTGCACACAGGTTGGTAGACGACATTTTCAGTCAAGGTGATGGAGTAGGTGCGGTTGAGGTTGAGGACACCTGCCGGACGTTTTCCACCGCTTCAGCGAGAGCCGCAGCCAGTGAACTCGATGAATCAATTGCAGGCAGAGAGAGGGAATTGACTGCTAGATGGATAGAGCGCCTACCATTACTGGGGAGCAAGAACGGCGTGCACGTCGGATCAACCGTCGAGGTGGTGTGAGTCGACGTGGGCCGGGCCCATATCTGGCGGCGAACGAGTCGAGCACCCTCGCCCATGATTCCAGAGAGCGAGAGCGATCTAGAGCGAGGAGACCTGTCCTCGCACTAGCCAGCTTGCATCTGGATCGAGATTCGCGCAATTGGTGTCTGGCGGGGGGGTCGTAGGAATCGGGGCGGAGTCAGGTCACAGACGCTGACATGGTCGGTCCGATCGGACGGGCTAGGGGAGGTCTTGGAACGCAGGAATGAGAGATTGTACGCCTGGCGCCAGACTGTCGCAAAGTGACGAAGGAATCGAGGAAACGGGCGATCGCTCGATTGATGGACCAGGAAACGTGAAAACCGAGGCCCTTAGGGGTCGCGTCGTTCTCAGAGCAGTTCGAGTCGCGGAAGAAGGGCCCAGGAGCTGACCGATTCGTTTGGGGATATCGTGTAATTATCGAGAGGGCGGTAGTGAGTTATAGATAGATACGTATATTGAACATAAGAAGCAGCGAGCAAGCTGAAAAGGTGCCAGGCCGTTGAGGGAGAGAGAAGTCTGGACGAAAAGCGGGATCAGCGTGTGGAGCAGCACGGAGCATCGTCTGACGCGGGACCAGAAGGCGATCGCTGGGAATCCGACAAGACGAGTACGGCCGCATTCTCGACACGTCCTACCATGGATATGCAGTGGAAACGTCAATTCGCGCTTAAATAAAATTCTTGGAGTGAGAATGGAGGATACAGTTATCTTTGTCCTGTCTCTGTCTGGACAGTACTGCTACCACTTACCATTGGCTACATGTACTAGATCTTGAGTACATAGATGAACTATATACATGTCATGCCATACCCAAAAATCGATGCCAGCCCAATTTACCGACCTGCTCGCTCCTACAGCTAGTTCACAATGAAGCAAACAACACAATAGCTGGTAGGAGAAGAAAAACGACATGGAAAAAAGGCGCCACCCGCACCGGGAAAAGGAGACCAAAGGAAAACGGGGGTGAGAGACTAATTCGACAAAGACCACTTTCTGGCCTTGTAATATCTGTAATATCTCGCGGCAAGAAGCAGATGGAAAGAAAATAAGTCAAGGGAAAGACCAGGATGAAAACAGCTCGAGTACAATTCAGAAAGACTGGACAAGAAGCAAGCGATATCATCACCGTATATACAAGTTCGCGCTGTAGGGGTATCATATTTGCACGAGAATCACATTTCCAAAAACTGCTGGAGACTGAACATTCCGAGAAATCCTGATAGATCACGGTTCATTTCGGGGGCGGCGGATATTGCATCGGCCCCGGGGGCAGATACGGAGCCCTCAGAGCCGTGCCGCTCACCTGGGCAGAGTACGCGCGAGCCTCTTCGCGCTTTCGGATCTCGCGATCGTCCTGGATGAGAGTGCAGCAGATGCAGCATGTCGCCTGGACACAGTCCGTACAGATGTCGCCTTCGATTTCATACGTTTTCCTCGTCCGGGTGTGCTGGATCGCCGCGAGAAGGCATTGGCATCCACAGAGCAGGGCCATCGCGGTGCACGACCCATTGCACGCTTCATAGCCCAGGAGGTTTGTTGGATCCTCCCGCCTCGACTTCCGGGCCAGGCGGTATTGCGTCCTGCCGTAGAGAATGCAAGGACACCAGATTCCCAGGCAACACGTGCCAATATCCGAGAACTCGCCGAAGCGGGTGCTCCAGGTGCCGCCCTTTATCTGCTGTTCCGGATGAGAGATCTGGCCTGGGAGATGGTCCGGATGGGCCTCGTCCAACACCGTTGCCTCGTGTCGAACAATCGTGGGAAACGTGCCCCTTGCGGCGGGCGGCGAACGAGGCGTCTGCAGCGGATTGGTATCTGGCACAATCGGCACCGGATGGACCGGCGGCGGCCGTGGATGCTCTTTGATCGGGAGAGGACCGGGGGAATGTGGAGGGGATCGGTATGGCGGTTGTGGTGATGGTGATGTCTGGGCAGCTGGCCGTTCGCTTTGTCCCTCAGGTTCGTCCGCATAGGGAGCAAAGAGCGCTGGATGCACAGAGGAGCCATGAGGGCTGGGCGAAATGGCTTGCTCCTGCTGCAGACGCAGCTGGCGAGCCTCCTCCAGCTCCCTCTTCTCGCTGGCTAAATTGGAGGCCTGTTGCGGCGTCTCCGCTGCTGGGGGAGGATTGATTGCATTGGTGTTGGTATCGGCAACCGCTGGTAACTGCGAACCCGGATCCTGACTGCGAGAGCCTGGAATTGTCATTTCAATGGGCGTTTCGAGGTATGAGTACCTCTGGTGAGGTACGTCAGAAGTGTCCAACCGTGGCTGGCGACTCATCCTGGAGGCCGCAGCGATCGACGTCCGCCATTAGAGTAGATCGCTGTAAAGCCAGTTAGTTAAGCAGCCAAGGTGTCGAAAAAAAGGACAATTATCCAAAACTACCACAAAAAAAAGAAGACAAAGAAAAAGCAAGAAACTGCATCGTGAGGAGGGAGGGGATCAACGGCAATACAGACCGAGCGAACCAGTCGTTTCCCCGCCCAGGCAGGAAGCTCAGGAAGAAGCTGTTTAGTTCGCTCGTTCGTTCCACAGCGTGCTTGCATCGCACATTGCATTATCATTTCTTAGGACATGCAGGCCGCGATCGATGATTGAGCGATGGTTGATGGCGCTGGGGCCGGGGGCTTGGGCGCTTGCTGCTCGTCACAGGCCGGTTCGGGCTGCCATCACAGCCGTCTCCCAATCACCGGCAGAGAATGGCCAGGGATCAGGAGCACACGAATCGAATGGATCATGCAGTGCCTGGAGAGAGTTACTACTAAATTGTAATTTACTAAATTACGACTCCGGAGTACTACTAACACGGTTGTAAAGTCTTTGCCTACTCCGGACTCCCGGAGTAGGCCAGCCACTAGGCAAAAAGCATTCTAGAGTGCATATGTAAATAGCTCAGATTGATATCACATTATTAACGTATTAGATTTGGGGCAAAAAAGGTTAATAAATATTTTATTTTTATTTCCATTTCAAATGCTTTAAAAGATGCCCTAAAGATTATAAATAATAAACAAGTTAAATTCTATAAAATGATTAGAAATTATCATATTTTTTAAGTTATCATTTATTATTTTTTATATTATTTTTTTCTAAATTTATTTATAAAGGCTTTAATCCTTCAATTCGAAGATATAAACAATATTTTCCTACCTAGTCTTTATTCGTTGACTCGACTTCTTATTTCCTTTCGCAGAGCGTACCATGGCTGTCGCACTTCCTCTACTCTAGTACTATATTGTCAAACAATCCTTTTGACCTTTGCCATCTCATCGCACACCTCACCTGTCCTGTCAACCCAGGTCGCATGTGAATTGCGCACTTCATCGTCATGCTCCTCGAGTAAAACGATGTCAAAACAATGCCCTGCCCAACTTCCCGCCATCGGGTCGTGACGGCATATTCTTCTCCGTAGTAATCTGTCGAGGCGTTGGAACACTGGATGCGCCAAAGAAGTACTTCTTCGATAGTTAGATCATCTGCATGGGGATGATCGACATATGCATCGCATCGAAACAACCGAGACTGTGCCTGGTTCTGGTTCTGAAGCCACTGACACCTCCGGCGACAGCGGATTCCTGTGTCGTCAAGTTCCGCAGCAGCCAGCAGCGTGGATCTGGATCTGCTGCCGGACCAAATAACGGGGCGATCGAGCATGCCTCCTTTAATTCGGCCGCCAAAGTGCTCGCGCTCCAAGCTCGCGATCGAATCGTAGTAGTATTTTGGTTGCAGGTCTCGTTGAAAACCTGCACCCATGCCTCCGACGCCGTTAACCCCGCCCGGTAGACGCCCTCATTCAAGCGTTGGGTGTTGAATTCCACGGTTACAAGGGACCACCCATTACTCGAACTTGTATAACACCGGCGAATAACTTTCTCGACCAACTGGTAATTGTCACGCTTGAACGAAGGCGAAAAATTGTCTGTCCAGTCACTCAGGCATGCGATCTCTGCCCCGATCAGTGAGCCCGCGTCGTGTGTGCAGTCACGTTGTGTATGTGCCAAAACATGTCTCCAAAGGACGGGAGATGAGAGACCAAGATTAATGATATCTGTCCGACTGAGGATTGCTGCCTCAAGGACCAGTGCCAGGATTTCTGCTGGTAAAGATTCGAGTCTCGACGGGTTGTTGTTGTTTGTCCCATTCCTCGCACCCCAGTCTGCGCGAACAGCTGTGGCGGGCTGTCTGTTGTTGTTGTTGCTCTTCCCCCGGGGAATTCTTGCAAGACAGTACCATGCATCCCATACATCTTGAGGGGAATGTAGGCAGATGGGCGGGTAATCGCCTCGGTGTCGGTTCTTGAAACGATAATATGTCTTCTTCCGGGGAGCGAGGAGGGTCCATCCCGGTGCAAGTCTAGGCTCCATTCTCGAGGACCGGGCGCTCTTAACATCAACTAGTTCTCGTACGAATATTCAGGGTCGTATTTATATCTTGCGAAGATCATGTGTCCGTCCTAGAACCAGTCCATGTAGAATTGCGCTGCCTACCAAGCAGATAACTTATTGTTATTCCTAGATAAAGAAAGAACCATTTTTACCTACCTGAATAGGTACAGATCGACACAGTCTAGAGAGGCCAAACACCGCGGAGCCTCCTGCATAGCCCTCTTCTGGCTTTCTAAGCGCGTGTCGCCAGGCAAATTACAGACCAAGCTGGTTGAAGTCATCTCATTCAGCACTTACTACTGGACTCAAGCAACTTCTACCTGAAGATGTATCAGATGATTTTGTTGGGTTAGAGTAAGGTCCCCCTTCCCCGCGTAAGAATGCCAACCACATGCTTCGATGCCAACAAATAACAGAGGTAAAAAAAATAGTAAACTGGCAGGAGGACCTGGCTTCCCAGTTATGTAGCTACCAGGCCAATTCACAAGCAGGGCGATTCCAAACAAACAACTGCCTAGGGACAAAAACTCCCAATTGCCTACCTAGTCTGGTCCTGCTGCAGCATGCCTGCACGAGCAACAGCATATGCACCGTGCCGCCGCCATCACACACATGCTCCGGATTACCTCCTGTGGTAGGGCTGGGGTGGGCCATCCGCATAGTATATACTTCCAATAATTAACACCCATATACAGTACTATTACTAGAAAGAGCACAATCAGCTGGAGACGTTCATGACGTATTGTTTTCCTGATTTTTTTTTCTTGCTGTAATTGTCTGCGGGCTTTTCGCCTTTTTTGAGCAAAAAAAGCAGAAGAAAAGGAAGAAAAACAATCATCAATCATCAGGTCAAGATATCTATCGTCATGGGTCGTCCATTCGGGAGAGACATTTCCCCTAGTTTTTTTTTTATAGAAAAAGTTCACCTGCGTCAAAGTATCGACCAACCTACGACTCCACATCGATATTCCGGAGCTGTGGTCCAAAGGTCTTCCGGATCCAGTCCATGTACGACTTCCACTTGAGATGCTCACCGCTCGACTCCGCCCCGGGGAATGCCTTCTCGAGTTCCCGGCTGATCTTCAAGATCCCCAGGGACGCCTCCTGCGCCTTTTCAATCTCCTGCTTGACGGCGTTCTCCTTGGGCTTGAACGACAGAACAACCCGGTACTTCTCCGACAAGGCATCGAGCTGTCGCTGCGTCTCTTCGGGTGCAAGCGTAATCAGTTTTGCTGTCATCAGGTTACACAGCGTCCGGATATCCTGCTCGTCCTCGATCCCGGCCAAGATCCGGTCAAAGAACTCGGTAACGTTGATCCGCGTGAACGCCGAATCCAAAGAGGCATACAGGGTTTCATACGCGCTCTGATGATATAGTCAGTAGACGAACAAAAAAAAATGATCCAAAGGCTCACCTTGCGAAGTTCCAGGCCGTCGTCGACCTTGTGCTTGAACGGCCCCATCTGAACCTCACGGATGAGTTCGGGTTTAACATGCGTATCGCCAATGACGGCCGGCAGCAACTCGCTCAGATGCGGCTGAATAATGTCCATCTTGTTGTGGATCGCGGAATTCAACGTCGTCAATGCCAGACGGTGGTTCCCCAGATCCCGATCGCTCAGCATGCTCACCAGCATGGGAATGATCAGAGGTCGCAACACGTCATTGTAGGCACTGCTCGAGTCCGACAGCGTGTATCGGAAGGCAGAGATGACCGTTCCACGGACCGTCGGGTTTTCATTGGAGAGATACTCCTGGAGATGCGGCACATAGGACGCAGGATCGATCAGGGCCAGTCGCCCAATGCATTCCGCTCCCACGACCCGGTTGTCTTCGTCGTCCGACGCTGAGAGAAGAATCTGCCAGAGCTTGATCGCGAACGGTGCGATGTCTTTTCGCACGATCTCAGGATGCTGAAGGATTTCTTTGACCGAATGGAGGAGCAGATAATTCGAGGAACTGGATTTATCCAGGCCCTCCAGGATGACAGGCATATAGGTCTTCAGGTTGCTGGCCGCAGCATTGCCGAGAGCGATGGCTGCAGCAAGCCGGACTTTGTCGGATTTCGACTCGAAGTTGGAGATGAAAAGATCCGGTTGCAGAGGGCACTCGGCACCCATGCGAAGGCACACCTCGGCCCAGAATGGCCAGAGC